TCTTCGGTTCGGAAATTTCGAAATATTAAAAGTTCAGAGACCCAGTCAGAGGATCTTTCAATCTTTGTCTGCAGACACTATTACTAAGCTACTTGATGAGCAAGGTAATCCTACCTATACACTTTCGAAAGACGAAATACTGGTTAATCACGCTTCTGTATTACAACCTCGAGTACCCATTAATGATAAGAATACAGACTTACCTCGCTTGTATGTGATTCCGAAATTTCACAAGAATCCTTTTACATAACATTTTATCGTGGGCTCAACTCAATGCTCATTGTGAACACTTTTATACCATTCCGTTAGGGTTACAGTCGTATAGAGACTGTATACTCTGTAAGTGGAATAAATAGAATGTGGAGTTTGAAGAATTCAAAACATCTCTTGATCTATCTTGAACATCTTCTTCTCAAGAATGTTTTCTCTATCAAAACTTTTGTCTTCCCGACCCTTTAAACTACCATTCTTCATACCAAACAAAAGGAATGCATTCGATCTCTTATTACGACACATTACATTACTACGATATAAGTGAGTAAATTGTTTTGGAGCGTATATTGTGATGTGCTGTCTTTAAATGATAAGAAATGTATTGACCTCATCGATATTAAGTACCCTCCCGAGCTTGAAATTAAGGAAACTACGGGTTCTTCAACCTCTGAGCCGCCTTCCTCGATCTTCTCTCATAACATGATCAAAAGAGACCTCTTTAAACTATGCTGTACGATAAGTAAAACGATTTTGATTTTTCTGTCAAAAACTTTCTCTTTCTCGATATTAGCATCCCTACTGTTGCAGTTGATTCGGTAGGTATTCAAGAGCTGTATTCGAAAAGCTTAACTTCATGACTTCATCATGCTATCGTAGGTTTCGACTGCTGACTGACAAACTTACAGCACAGAGATTACGAAGATGCAGTGGATGAAGTCTACTGGCAAGCTTTATGGTCCTTCTCAAAATTTACATATTAAAGGGAAATATGCTATTTCCGTTTTGTGATATGAATGCCAATGCTTTTGAGTATGCTCGCTAGAGTGGTTTTGTTGTCATTGCCTCAATTCTCATTAGGATGACGTAAGATAACTTGGAGTTGATCCAGATTTAATAAATGCTGTGTGTCATTGATGACGCAGAAAACGCTTACCCTTCAGGAACACTTGATCCTATTCTCCTTGTATTTTGTAAGGGTCTTCATGCCTTTGTTCATATTTTCCCATAGTTTTATCAGTTTTGAGTAAACACTATGATTTTGTTGACACTTTTTAAGAACCACCCTCCCGTAAATAAAAAGTTAAAATTTAGTTTATAGATTTTTGGATAACAATTCGTGTTTATTCTTCTTTTAAATTATTTTATAAGATATTGCCAGTGGGACAGTGTGGTACAACATCGGTATTGCTACGGTCAAATTTTGTTTTTAAGTGCTTTCTCGCTTAGCTCTGTTTTACTAGCTGTAGAGAGGCTTACTAGTCTCAAAATAAGATAGATGCTTCCATGCGAAACGACTAAAATCATAGTTAAATTCCCTGGTAATATATTTTAGCAGATTAGAAGCAAGAAAACAAATGCTATACGTTACGTAAATCGATAAATGCACTTTAGAGGATGTGCCATTTCATAACCGTCAGTGATGTCATGAATGCGCTAATGAATGATCCTAAAAATAAAGGGCATGTCATCCTGTGCAACACACCTTCTGTTAGCTTAGATCGTTCAACTAGATTTTTCACAATATAGACTACATGAAAAGCTAGCTTTTGTTGTGTAGACACAGATTTGTAAATTGCCAGAACTGTAGTCTCAAACCAAATTCGTTTTTTTTTTTTAAATTATGAAGCCCACATAGTCCACTTCATCATGTATATGCCAATTTTAGTGCTGATTTTTTTTTTTAAATTTTGATACATGTAATAGTATAGGGGTTATTCATTGTACAAAAATATGACCACCATACGCTATTTTACACTGCTACCCTGGAGAATTTACAAAAAACAAAATGTTACTCAGGCATTTTCCTATGATTTTTTAGCATTGTCATAGCAAAATTCATCATCTACTTTTGAGGTCAGAGTGCCTCTCTATAGCTAGTTGAAGAAGTATCTAGCATTCAGTTGGGCTTCAAAAGAGATTGACATGGTATAAGTCCAATGAACAATTTTGATGAAAATGTCAGCCTTAACTCATTCACCCCTGAAGACACATTTGAACTCTTCCAATTCAAAGGTTGGAATAGTTCATTGTGAAACTTCAGGGGTGAATGAGTTAATGACTTGTTATTGACTATGTTGACCTCGCTATGAAACATTATAATAGCTAATATACAAGTCCAATATATTTAAATTACATATATAATTAGTTCAGAGACGTATATATTACATGTACATTACAAATCCTGTAATATATATACGTCTCTGATTAGTTCCAATTTTTAATTGGGGTCTTTAAATGTGGTCTATCATAGGGTTGGAATTTGACTATATCCTCTTTCAGGGGGCTTAAGCTTGTTGAACCTTAACTCATATGAGTCAATAATAATGCTTGCAATAAGGCAGATGTCTCCAGTAAAATAGCTAACGTCAACTTCCTTTGCGACCCAACTAAATGCTACGAAATCACATGTTATCTTAAGTTCATTATTACCTAGGTCGTGCAGAGGCCTCAAATTGAAAATGGTTTCTGTTAAATGCCTCACTGAGATACATATTTTACTGGCATATATGCAATATACAGTGACATGCCACTATAGTCTCTTATGCTACATCATTTTCCCATTGGATTCTATGTTAATTTACCTCACCAAAATAAGTGTCCCGATATCTTTCTTCTTATTATTATTTTTATAAAATTGGCACACAGCTATATTCTTATCTAACGCTTCTACTTACTTTGAATACAATTATCCCTTTTTTTCAGAATTCTCACCATGATAAGTAAATTGTCCAAAATATTTTTTCACGAAAAATATTAACCATGTGTCTATAGGAATGGTGTCAACTTATAACTTTGATGCTGGAATAAAAATTGATATCTAAACAGCAAGGCTATGGATAATAATATGAATATTACCAGAAGAAATACTGGATATTTCTCTAACCGAATGTAAAATTGTATCCAAATTAGATGTCAAAGAAGTCAGGAAATCTTTCTGAAAAAAACCAATAACATAGAATCCAATTGGAAAAGGGCTTAACGTGACAGACTTATGGCACGTATGTAAAACATGTAAAATGACGGGTGTACGTGTGACCGAAATAAATAAACTTTACATGAAGTATCTTTTCGTTGCATTTAGTGTTGTTCCCCTACCCTGAGGGGTGTGACAGAGATATATCCAACCCGAGGGGTGATGTTTTTTGGTTGTCTAACCCAAGGCTCTGCTGAAAAAAATCAGGTTTTAACATTTTTGAACCCAGCGACCTTAGATATGGGTGAAGGTTATACATTTCAACAAACTTGATAGCCCTTCATCCTAGGATACTACTTGCCAAATGTCGTCATCATAGGCCTTTTGGCTATAATGACGTCATTTAAAGTGAAGAGTTCATGCTGGACACATGACAGATAAATACCAGATGCCACATCATGACGGCTGGCCGCCAGGCGGACGGAGGATGCCACACCAAAGCACAAGTTGATTTGGCCTTCATCCAAACATGAAACTTGCTAAATATAATCACCCTAGAAATCTTGGTTATTCAGAAGAAGTCTTTTGAAGGTATTAACACATTTGACCCCTTGACCTCGTATATAGGTGAAAGCCATTCATTCACCCCAGTGAGGAAAATCGGTTAATGTCAATTGTTTGGATAAACCTGAAAGCCTTCTTTCCATCATGCTATTGGCTAAGTACATTTGTAACATCATCCAGGCTATTTAAAAGTAGCTTCAATGTTTTAAAATTTGACCTCTGTGAGCTTCAAAATGGTTCAAGGTCATTTATTTGTACAAACTTGATAGTCCATCATCCCATCATACTACTGGCAAAACACCGTGGCCTCTTATTCATTCAGTAGAAGTTATTTAAAATCTTTCACATTTGACTCTGGTGACCTTAAATTCATTTGAACAAACACCATAGACCTCCATCCTCTCATGCTACTGGCGAAAGGTCATCACCATGATTATGTTAAAGACGTCATTTCAGGATCCCTGTCCCCACTGCACTGGGTGTTTTTTTTACATACAGTAACCTCCCCTTAATTATGTTTTGGTTATAACTGTAGCACAATTAGACCAGGACACTTCCGTTGACTAGATGGCTCAGTCTGTTAGTGTGATAGTATAACAACCTGAGGTCCAGGGTTCGAATCCCGGTCTAGCCCCGCTGATTGTTTTAATCAGAACACTGTTGTTGATTATTGTTTGGTTTAGTTCATCTCGATCATCTTTTATAAAAGTCAAACATATGGTTTTTCTTTCAGAAATTATTTATCGAAGCTATGGTAAGGTCAACACAATCGTCTTGCTGTGCATAGTTATGGTATTTGGCAGTGGTATGGGGATATGGGGATACTTAGAGTAAAAAGTTGTATATATATAAATGTATGATGGACAAATGACAGTAGCCTCATCAAAGCACAGCTCCTTTGGACCAGGGCCTGTATTCATGAAACCGTTCTCGTACTCAAACATAGATTCTCTGCTCAAACAAATTTTCTTGCAACTCGCTAAAATCATGTCAAACGATCAAAAGTCAAATATAAACATTGAAAACAGTATTCGGCTTCAACTCTCTTCAATGTTTTCCCAAATCATTGACCAAATAAGATTATCTAACAATTTAAAGACCGAACAAGAAATTTGGCTTGAGCACAAAATCCATGCTTGAGCATGCCAGACCGATGAAGGACAGATGCCTCAGGGTTAAGGGAGCTAATTATAAGAGGATATGGTCATTGTTTTCCTCAGATATTCAGCAACAAGACCAGATATGACTATTTCTGAAGTAAAAAAAAAAATTCTCCTCATCAAGTCTCACAAAAGAAAAAAGCCAGATCTGAATATTCCTATATTTATTGACTTATGTTGGACGGAAAATACACTGTCAAATTCATCTAACATGGTGAAGCACACATCCAAATCATATTCAACAAGTCATCATAAATAGGTCCATATATTCAACAGAATTCTAGTACACAAGTTTCTACATCTATCACTTGTGACTTTTACTGTCTCGATTACAGCAGGTAAATGCTGTCGTTCTGGTATCATCTACTAAATGGAGGGTTTACCGCAGTCTGCAAAAAATATGTCAAATGTTAGAGTTACATATTATCTTCCAAAAATACTTATTAATAAGCAAGCATAGATGTTCTCATTAAAGTGAACAAAAATGCTGATTTTATAAATATTTATTAAAAAAAAAAAAAAATTGTCTACATTAGCATTTAGTTCTCCATTTTTCTGGTTTCTCTAATGATGTTTTTCTTAGATTTAATTCTTACTTCAAGAAAAATTTCACACAAATAGATACAAAATATTATATTAATTTTGATGATAGAAAAATTTAACTACAGATATTCATAAAAATCTACCTTACTGATCCATTGGCTATTCATTGACTTGTGTGAAAATGTAGTCACAATAATTTACTACTGAGAGAAAATTCAAAGACATATCAAATAAAATTATGAATATAAACGATTATCATAATAAATATATGGTCTGATGGTATGATGAAAATGTGTCAAATTCCCTATATAACGAAAACTGGTTAAATTGAAAACAATTAAAGCTGAGTGAGTTGAAAAAAAAGTTGTTTATGTGAAATTTGGTTTTTTTAATACAAATTTCAGAAATTATCACTTAACTTATTTTTAAAAAATCAATTGAATTAAATGTTTTTGGACATGACATATTAAGTATATCAAGTTTATTATTATATACTGCAGATGTTGAAAAAATAAACCATAAATTTCAGTTATGGATCAAAGTGACTTATATATATGAACGAAACTTTCAAAGTCATAAAAAACAAACATTTTGATAATTGCGGTATACAAAACCTTTCAATTCCCTAAATTTAAACATCACACATCAAATTTTGGTGCTATATTTAAAAATGAATGTCTGAAAAAGAAATTATATTGTTATTTTAAGCTATAAAGACTTATCGATGAACAACTTTTACTGACAAATATTTTTCTTGACTGACTGAAATTTTGCAATATTGCACACGATGCAGGTCTGTGTATGGTAACACATGGACAGAATCCCTTGTACCTCGGTAGTACCCAACAAAATACCATATCTATTATAAAAACAGCCTGGTCTTGCGACATGCCTACTTTTGATACATTACATGCCTACTTTTGATACTTTGAAATGAAATAATTGACATGTTCATGTACTTATAAATACATGAAGTTGTTATATTTAAATTTAAAAAAAATCTGATATTTGCACCAAATATTATAATTGTGAGGTGTCTTCTCAGGTGATGGGTAAAACCTTAACGAACATCTCTGTATTATAATAAACAAACATCTTAAATATTATACAGGGCCAGATGCTGGTGTCTCCTTTGAAATTTTTAAAACTAATTTAGTGTTTCGAAATGCAGTTATCTCCCTTCTTTCAATTCTGATGGTTAAAACTAACACAGTATGTTTTGATTACATTTAAAAAAGAATAAAAAACAATGTTTTGGTATTCAGATTTCTACGAATAAAGTACATTAATAAATACATTATGAACAATTCAAATGTAATTCATGTACTGTATATTTAATAATTTACTTCAAACATCAAGCATTTTTTTCATTATACAATTTAAACTGTATTAATGAGTAATGCATTGCTATACACATAATTATAATTGTCTATGAAAAGATACATGTTCTTAGAACTTGAAATGGACCGAACATCCAATAACATACAAAAACTGCGGTAGAACTTCCTCAGAATCCGACTCATGTAGATAGATAGCTAGATCTCTAGATAGAGAAAGTTCTCATGTAAACAGCCAAGCCTGGACTATCCAGACATTTTGCTCCACGCTAATGTGGCTGGATAGTAAAAGGGCAGGAATACAGTGGAAAGTTTTGTTTTTATTTATTTTCTGAATAACTGAAACTAAAAAAGAAAGAAAGAAAAGACTTGGCATGTGTGTGTCAAAAGAATAACTAGTGGCTGGAGTTGGAAGGCTCAAGTCAAATTCCAAATGTAGCAAATATTTATTACACGCAACACTACACACAAATTTTTATTCAACAAGAAATGTTAGATATTTTCCTCCCTGTTTTAACAATAAATACATGTATGACTTAGATCAAAGCATTGGATATGTTTCCAATCACAGTATATTTTTATTACTACCAGCAGCAATAAAATTGTTAGCAGTTACAAGTGTCACGATACTGTGAAATCAGATATTATTGTGAGGCCAATATTTTGTGGTTTTCCAACAAAACACCGTTTCATAGGTACATGAATTTGTGGACTACGATTACCCACTCAAACAGAAGAATTTCTTTATATCAATCAAACTTTGTGGACCTGTGGGTTCATGGATGAAGATTACCCACTCAAACAGAAGAATTGCTTTATATCAATCAAACTTTGTGGACCTATGGGTTCATGGATGAAGATTACCCTCGAAAAAAACAAAATTAAAAATCCACGAAAATGAAAGATTTCACAGTATTACATGTACTACAGAAAACTGCCTAGTGCCAGTGTGTAAATAGATATCCAAGATATTAAAGCTGTTATGTTCTACTTACAAGGGTGCGGTCTGCTTGTGATGTCACAATAGAAATAACTATGACCTCACATTCTTTTACAATTAAAAATGACGTAATTTCAAAATTGCAGTCACCACAAAAAGCTTGACAACATCTCTCACAAAAATCTGAATATTTTCAGCATCAAATGTTTAGAAAGTGTAGTATAAGTGCTGTGAGAAAACAAAACCCACTTACAAGGTGTATTACCGGAAAATATCATTCCTGGTAAGAACATTATGTGTAATAAAAAAAAACAAAAAAACCTTCAAAACAATACTCAATAATTAGCAACCTGCAAAATGTACATAACGTAAGTTCATTGATTTTTATTTTTATTGTTAAAAATGATTAATTACCAGTTTTTAATTTGCTTTTAATTACAGAACTGACTTATTGCTATCTCGAAATACATTTAATTTACCTCTATCTAGTACTGTATTATCACGGGACTTACCAACAAAGGGGTTCTTAATGTACCACATAAGGGATGGACGGACAGATTTAGGACGGATGGATGGACAAAGCTTATGTGCCAAGTCCCATAATAACAAGAACATGCCGAAAACTTAAAGCTATCATTTCACATTAGACACAAAAATATTCTATTATACATTGTACAGGAAATCATTCTCATTGCTAATATATACATCTAAAAGGAAAAACTTAACATTTATTTTTATGTCCACTGAAGTCTCAGATCTGGCCATGACCGATGGTTTCTGCGTCACATAACATGTTATCTACTAGTTTTTCCTGAGTTTAAACTCAATCTATGGAACGTTCATGAAACACGGGCTAAATTATGACATCTGGAATGCATGTAACCATTTACAACTCTTTCTTCTTTTTTTCTCCCTCAGGTTTTGAGACATACACGTACATCAGTTGCTGAACTTTCCTGTTTTCACAAAGCAGTGAGACTCAAATCACTTTAAATGTACAATATTTTATCCTGTCAAGCTATCCAAATTGTTTATTCATTGTTAATTCTCCTCAGTTATTATGTCTGGAAATTAAAAGTGTTTCAATGTTAGAAGGATGTATGTTACCTAACATATTATACTTGGTTTAACTTATTCACCCCTGAAGACACATTTGAACTCTTCCAATTCAAAGGTTGGAATAGCTCATTTTGAAATTCAGGGGTGAATGAGTTAAAACTTGTCTCCCTTATCTATCAATTTAGAATAACTAACAAACTATCACTATCACAGTATGGTAGCATTTATTCTTAAGGGAGATACCTCTAACACAAATCGCAGGTATCTATGAAAGACTACAAATCTTGAAAGAAATTTATTTACTGAATCTAGTACCTTTTTTTAATTTGTCTAAAATATATTTCACCTCAATGTCCTGTACAGATTAAGAAATAAATATTTTTAAAAATTATACTTGGTCTCTTATAAATACAACTGTAATTAAAAAAAAACTAAAATACTTTTAAACAACTATGCACAGAAAAAAAGATAACAATGCAACAACAATCTGTACAGATAAGTTGGCTCAATGTTAGATATAAACTTTTGTACTTTGATCTGATAAATATGCCCTTTCAAGGGCAACCAAATGTGGTATCTGCTACGACCATCTATATAGCCCTACTAAACTAGTAACAAATTAATTACCACAAGTAGTTCTTGGTAGCATTGGCCTCACTCCTGAAACATCACCAACTTATTGAAGCACGAAACTTGGCCGTGACAAATAAACATGAACAAATGACAATTTACATATATAATTATAATAGAGTATGAAGCTTGGGGAAATAAGTTTCAGTAATAAGACTTTTTTAATCTGAGATCATTTTTTTTTAGTGATTTAAATTTAACAAATAATGACAAGGCTTGAAGTACTACTTGAACAACTAAATTTAGATTAATTTTCATATACAGCTATAGAATTTATCATTTCTTTCAATCATAACAGAGAGTTTACCACATTTATCTGGCAATAAGCCCATGCCTGGTAATAAGCCCATCCATGGAACCTCCATCAGCAAACATTTAATACCATTCTGACCATTTCCTGAGAAAAGTACAATTGAATTAAACTTAATTAACTTTTCGTTACATTGTTCCACCATCAAAGCAAGTCTGATAATATTTTTCCAGGGAAAATAAGACGGATTAGTGAATGGGTTGACAGAGAGGCTGGCTAACTGATGGATTGTTCTGAACCTGTTCACCAATTGACTATAATTATTGCTGGGGTGTCACTGGCATCATGACACTGATCCTCATACACGCTTCACTCCCTTGATTCCTTTATCCTCAAAATGCTTTTCCAGGCGTGCAATATTCGACTGTAAAAAAGCCAACAACATGAATACCACTTATTCCTCCACTACATTTAGAATGACATGTTATGTGTATAATTTAGCAAAATGACTGGAAAACAAAGAAATTTGTTAACAAGAATCTATCAAAACACATTTTTCTACAAAACTATTAGGAGTCGAAAACCGGGCCCTGATTTACTAGTCACTGTACTGAATGAGAATTTCTTCCTAGCCGAGTCAGGAGGATTATTTAAGCAGCTAGTATTCTAGGGGGTCATAGTGATTTTTGTGAAAGTATCATTTAGTATATTTGTCAATATTTCCCGAGTCCCTATGTGGACACAAATGTAACAAAGGTAATTATTTTTTCAATGCTCCTTCTAGGAGTCGAACCCCTGACCTCTGGTTTACTAGTCTTACATTCTACTGAATGAGTTGAAGAGAAAATCCCCCTAGCCGAATCGGTAAGAAGCAGCTAGTATTTTACCATGGTGATATAAACAATGTCATGTGAGACTTACCTTCCTGTCAATTGCCAGAGCCATGTCATATACATTCTTCCCCCACTGAAACAGAAACACACAAAGTTATTACCGTCCAATTATGTATCTACATAATGCTGAAGACACATTTACACAAGATCACACATTTTGAAGATTTGCTAGTAACAGTTTCAAAATAGAGTGCTGACAGGTCAAAAGGTGCCCGCCATGTGCCTGACTGTACCCCTCTCCCTCCCCCTGAGGAACAGGACAACAGGTGCCCGCCATGTGTCTGACTGTACCCCTAACCCTCCCCCTGACTAACAGGTCCTCGCCATGTGCTTAACTGTACCCCTTCCCCGACTAACAGGTCAACAGGTGCCCACCATGTGCCTGACTGTACCCCTTACCCTCCCCCTGACTAACAGACCAACAGGTGCCCACATGTGCTTGACTGTACCTCTAACCCTGCCCCTGAATAACAGGTCAACAGGTGCTCGCCATGTGCCTGACTGTACCCCTCCCCCTCCCCCTGACTAACAGGTCAAAAGGTGCCTACCATGTGCCTGACTGTACCCCTATCCCTCCCCCTGGCTAACAGGTCAACAGGTGCCTGCCATGTGCCTGACTGTACCCCTAACCCTCCCCCTGGCTAACAGGTCAACAGGTGCCTGCCACATGCCTGACTGTACCTCTAACCCTCCCCTGACAAACAGGTCAACAGGTGCCTGCCATGTGCCTGTCTGTACCTCTAACCCTTCCCCCTGGCTAACAGGTCAACAGGTGCCCGCCCTGTGCCTGACTGTACCCCTAACCCTCCCCCTGGCTAACAGGTCAACGGGTGCCTGCCATGTGCCTGACTGTACCTCTAACCCTTCCCCCTGGCTAACAGGTCAACAGGTGCCCGCCATGTGCCGGACTGTACCCCTGACCCTCCCCCTGGCTAACAGGTCAACAAGTGCCCGCCATGTGCCTGACTGTACCCCTTACCCTCCCCCTGGCTAACAGGTCAACAGGTGCCAGCCACGTGCCTGACTGTACCTCTAACCCTCCCCTGACAAACAGGTCAACAGGTGCCTGCCATGTGCCTGACTGTATCCCTAATCCTCCCCCTGGCTAACAGGTCAACAGGTGCCTGCCATGTGCCTCACTGTATCCCTAATCCTCCCCCTGGCTAACAGGGCAACAGGTGCCTGCCATGTGCCTGACTGTACCTCTAATCCTTCCCCTGACTAACAGGTCAACAGGTGCCTGCCATGTGCCTGACTGTACCTCCAACCCTTCCCCCTGGCTAACAGGTCAACAGGTGCCCGCCATGTGCCTGACTGTACCCCTAACCCTTCCCCTGGCTAACAGGTCAACAGGTG